CAGCTTCACTTGTGTTATCGTATGAGGAAGGTAGGTGAGAAACTGCACGTAGGATTCTGCAATAAGCTGGAATTTGGGTGGTATTTAAACCTACGAACTGACTTACTCAAAGATAAGCTCAATCGGATGGCTTGAGGATGCGATAGAACCAATTCAACAAAATAGTATAATCTATCCAATTGCATCTAATGATTGTGAGGTCAAGTACATGGGTCAGACTAGCTCATCAGTGTCAGTCAGATTAGCAGAACATAAGAACTTAGCTAAATACAGGATGATAGAGCCGAATAAGATCAAAAATCTAGAAAAGCACATGGCTGTTACAGTGGGTGCATTAACACACATATACACAGTAATAATTTATGCTAGATACCTTGTCATTCAGTGAATAATACTGTATTATACTGTGTGTTATAAATCAAATAAACAAATGTATCATTGCATTGCATTCTACTGCAGTGTCCAAGTTCTACATTTCTATTAACAGATGATTGATACTTTTATTCACTTGACTCACGTTTTGTCTTTGTTAGGTTAAATAATCTCTAGTTACCTGTAGTAATGAAATATGACGAATTAACAGGAAATCACTTATACACAGTGAGAAAAAGACAGGGGAAATACTCAGGGAATAATCAGGCTGGAACTCATTTATCATTAACTGTTTTAGTAGACAGTATTGTTGCATATTTTGTTGATCATTGTATGTCTTACATACATGTATACACGCTGAAAGTAGAAACCGCGTTTCACGGTATTTACTTCAGCCATAGTGAAGTTAAAGGGGAACTTTGAAATTAAAAGTACTTCACAACACTATGTATTGACAGACAGAAAAAAAAGTATTTTCATTTTTTTTTCAACGTTGACAGTTAGTTTGATGAATGACTTTTTTGTAAGTTGACAATCTGAGACAGCCATGGTTTGGCAGACTGGTATTTAATACTGGGTGATAACTGAAGGTGAGACGAAAATTCGAACCGTGGCTGGATTCAAACCAGTAACCACTAGGCTGGTAGCTCGGCCTTTTATTGCCTTTTTGTTCCTACTTCTATCATTTGATGAATGTTTAGTCAATCGGTAAAAGATTAACCGTCAATCTTTATAGAAGTCATAGATGTAACCTGAGAATAAGTGAAGACCACACAATATGATTACCGGCTGTCTCCAATCAACTGTAACATGTCAAAGTGCTGCTTGATGGTGAATATCAGGGCTTGTTGGCCACATCGCGAAGTGATCCATGGAATTCACTGAACATCGAAGACTAAACAACAAGAAAGGGGTTATTCTCTAGTGACTAGTCAATCACTTCAATCCAGTCCAAATTCAGATCAGTCGTTAACGTCTCCGTGAATAGCACTGGGTGATAATCCTTCGAACTTCAGAGGAGTCATCACTTCCTTCGAGGTTGTACATTACCAACAATCACGAAATCTGAGTGAAACAGAGGTCCTTGGCGATTGCCTGAATTCAAGTGACATTGAAATCTCGTAGGATTTCGAGTTGATGGAGAATATTTGGAGATCAGGAAGAAGATCTAAGTGGTGTTGTATTCTCTGAACTAAATGGTTCAGATGTAAAGTTTATCTACATAAACTATGATAAAGATCTGGTCATATAGTATGGTAAATACTGGGCTCTAAGTAAAACGTTAATATTGGATATAGATTGCATATTTGTTTAAGTCACACCGAGTTTGAAATCAAATGTATTCTTATAACGATTCAATCAAACTCGGCGCCTAACTTCTTCTAGGAGATTCACAACAACTATCATCTGGATGTTTATAATTCCAACGTTGTTTCACACGCAACTCTACTGCGAACTTCTTCAGCGAAATAATCAAAATTGAAATATCAAGAAGATATACAAATGAATTCGAAAAAACGTGTATTTAATCTCCTTTTCCAATACTATTCGTCTGGTCATTGTCTTTCGAAATTATTTGTACTGAGTGATGATTGAAGGTGAGATGAAATCTAGACGGCGTCCGGCTTCGAACCAGTGACCACCACTAATCAGTCAGTGTGAAATTGTATATCTCTTGTTGTATGGTGTGTGTGTGTGTGTGTGCGTGAATGTATGTATGTATGTTATATATGTATGTGTGTATATGTACTCCAAATCATGAATGTTTTGATTGTAGGTATCAGACAGAATGGTCACTGGTGGCATTATAGTCATTCACGGATTTTATAAGTACAACGAAATGGATGAGGTGAATATGTATGCACTTTCAGTTGGAATATCGTGGTGAATAGTATTCCCGTTGATCTACCGGGAAAAGATGGGAAATGAGTCATGATACTGATGAAGATGATGATAGTAATAGTGAGTCACATCAATCCATATTGTCTTCTTCTTGTTGTTGTTGTTGATACAGACATAATAAAGTTGAGATTGGTGTTGACGGTAAATGTTTTGAGTCACTCTTTCTACTTACTAATTAGTAATTGCCAAGAAGCAGCTAACTCGACTGCATTTCGTCTGTGTAAACTGTCTGGATTCACCCATATATGTAGGGCTTCGGCTGTCAATATTCCTTCGTATGAACAAAAACCGTTTTGTAGAATCTTGGTTCCGTCAAACTCAATTTTGTATCGCATTTCTTTGGAGTGTAACGCGATTGCGGGTTGGTCGTCCAGTTTCTTAACCTCTGTTGTGATCTGCTTTAAGCATAGTTTACCCTCATTGACTCTCATATTTGCCTGCTTGGTTGTTTCTCCTACATATACTACAGTATAATTGGATTGATTTCATTCATCATTACCATCATCACCATCAATATGATTACTCATTTTCACTCATTTTCTGGTTAATCAACGAGGAAATTTGTGAATACTTCTTACCATCATATTCCAACTGATGCATGATCCGATGAATTTATAAGATCCCTGAATGACTATAATGCCACCAGTGACCATTCTGTCTGATACCTACAATCAAAACATTCATGATTTGGAGTACATATACACACATACATATATAACATACATACATACATTCACGCACACACACACACACACACACACCATACAACAAGAGATATACAATTTCACACTGACTGATTAGTGGTGGTCACTGGTTCGAAGCCGGACGCCGTCTAGATTTTCATCTCACTTTCAATCATCAGTCAGTACAAATAATTTCGAAAGACAATGACCAGACGAATAGTATTGGAAAAGGAGATTAAATACACGTTTTTTCGAATTCATTTGTATATCTTCTTGATATTTTAATTTCGATTATTTCGCTGAAGAAGTTCGCAGTAGAGTTGCGTGTGAAACAACGTTGGAATTATAAACATCCAGATGATAGTTGTTGTGAATCTCCTAGAAGAAGTTAAGCACCGAGTTTGATTGAATCGTTATAAGAATACATTTGATTTCAAACTCAGTGTGACTTAAACAAATATGAAATCTGTATCCAATATTAACGTTTTACTCAGAGCCCAGTATTTACCATACTATATGACCAGATCTTTATCATAGTTTATGTAGATAAACTTAACATCTGAACCATTTAGTTCAGAGAATACAACACCACTTAGATCTTCTTCCTGATCTCTAAATATTCTCCATCAACTCGAAATCCTACGAGATTTCAATGTCACTTGAATTCAGGCAATCACCAAGGACCTCTGTTTCACTCAGATTCCACAACATAACTTTATCTTGTAGACTATGTAACATTTTTTAAGACAGGTGGGAAATTATTATTCAAGTCATCGAAGTGTTGGCCCACTTGTAGAGCACTGCATGACGACTAATATCAGCTACTTCATCACTTGACAAATTCATTTAGATAATTTTTCTATTTTATAATGTTTTGTCTTATAGGGAACTTGTTTATGTTCACTAACATCATAAAGTGGCTATTTGATCAGAACATTCGATCGCTATATTTTATCTTTTGTATGACTCTGAATGTAGTTCATCTTCAAGCCTTGTATTGCTTTGTTTTCGCCTGAAGAAATGTTTTCATTGACTTTACTCTTTAGGGAATATTTAAGAAGATGGTATAAACTGGATACTTCTAGTAGATATTATGGTGTAAATGATAACTATCCAGTTAATATGTAGCATTTCATATCCTATTGAAATTGGTGACGTCATTGTTACACTGATAGCAACGCAACATAATTGTAGTTGTACGTCGAAAAAAAGGGAACGGAACTGGTTTTTTCTGGTATTATTTAATCCTCTTGGGACCACTTATAGATAACTAATGAATTCCCTCCAAACACTATTATGCAGATCAAAAGATGTAACAAACAAACAAGACAAATAGAATATCATTTACAAAACCAACTGCAATAACTGTTGTCAACACCACATTGGTCGCCCTCTTCGCCTTCGTGTACATGAACACCAAGTGGCTATTAAATGTCACACATGACATTTCTTCACTTATATTAATACACATGGATAACAACGACGGATATGAATCCTATCTTGATGATGTAGAAATCTTGAATGGTGAGAGGAAACACAAAGAATATGAGAGGATTCCTAGAAGCTTGATGGCATTCAGGTCAGTCAGTCAGTCAGCCAGTCATCAGTCAACAGATGTATAGACATAGACCCAATTTATCTATCTATCAACCGATGAGGAACATGATAAAGGCAAGAAGGTGAGAGGTGAAGCAGATGAACAGTCAACAGGAAAATCTATTCAGTCAGTGAATGACACAGTAATCAATGGGAACAGGTAATCACAAACCAGTTGGTTAAAGTAAGCTAGTAAACTACTCACAGAGAGATATTCACAGCTTACTTCATCCTGAAGTTAGTGTTGATGGTTATATCGTCTAGAAAGATCACTTGAATGAACAGTCATTGAGCTCCCTATTATAGACTAATTTATGTATGGTACAGTTATAGTACTATAGGGTATTTATTCCCAGAGTTCTGACAATTAGACAATTCTAGAAGACATGAAATGTGTAAATTGTTTAATCCACTATAAAATTCGCATGAAAAAAAACTTCAACTCACCTGTAATTGTTGATTTTTTTGTCGAAAAGCCTGTTTAATCTTTTGGAATACAATGTTTTCTAAATCAGAAAATGAAATATATCCAACTAACAATTCTAAATTCTTCAAGGCTGCAATCTGAAACCGATAATATAAGTGAAGTATTAATAAAATAAAAGTTGATTGAGTATGTTGACTTTATAGAATAAAACAATGTATACAATTATAAAGGTCTAGACAATTGCGCAGATCGTTCACTGAAGACATCCATAATTGTTAATTGAATATTAATGGAAGAAGAAATTTTAGGCATTGTGGTTAGAGTATAATTTCATATTATGTTGTTTATATGATGTAGCATATAGTGGCTCAGAGATAGCATCTTCAATATCCACGAGTGAAGTACACAAATTTACGGACAGTTGAGAATAAACAGTATTAGTAAGATTTAAACCCACAGCAGAAGTATGATGACGGCGATATGTAGTTGACATATCCACGCTAGTGAGTTTTTTCGCACACATTAACTTGTTAGCAGACAGAACAGAATATAGAATGGCAATCAATTCAACTCTACATCAAATTCATCGATTTTTAAAAGGCCTTCAACAGCCTCCAACAACAAGTAATTTGGCAGGCAGCTGCCTCAACACCACCGTTTCACTACCACACACCCTTATTAACCACACTCAACAACAGCTGTATACTATATGATGCTACATGTCAAGTGATTCACAATGGAAAGCTCAGTGATGCCTTTGAAGTGAAGACAGTGAAGAAAGAGGACAGCAGTAAGACGAGGTATCCGCCTACTATCACTGATGATCTTTCTGATTGTAGTCGACTGAACTGTAATGGACTGGACTGGACTGGAGTGGAGTGGACAGGATCATGCAGGAAACTGTGAGGAGCGATAAGATGGGCATACGCTGACTGGACGGATGAAGTGAACCAAGAAGAAGATTTGGATTTTGCCACCGATGATGATTTATGTCTAGTGTCTTATGTCGCACAAACTCGAAGATCTGCAGGCGAAAAGCAACAAGTTGACAGAAGAGTTGAGGTGAGGTGAGGCGAGGTGGGACAGGGATGGAAGATGGGACTTCGTTCAGATGAACGTAGAGAAGATAGAGGTGATGAAGATACCGAACCAACAAGCACCGATCACCATCAACGATAGAAATCTGAAGTGAGTACTCTCTTCCACCTACCACCTAGTCAGCATCGTTTCAACTACATTTTCAACACCAGTGCCAGTCAAGTCAGTACTTCTACATGATTGTTGAGAGACTAGGCGGGTTATGAAAAGTATTTCCAAGAATCTGCAGACATACGTTATCTACCGCTGCCACCTACACCTACACTTACACTTGCACCTACACTTGCTTGATTCTGACACTGAAGTTGGAGATGAGATGGGCAGAATGATAAGAATAAGGAGGGAGGAACTCAGTGTGGCTGGCTGGCAAAGAATCCATTGACCAGCAGATATGCCAAAGAATGTGGAGATGGATTGAACTGGATATAGACTGAGAAGATTGTTTTGTGTACATCACGCACCAGGCTCTAGATTAGAATCCACATGGCTTTTGACGAGTCCGCTGTGCTAGGATCATATGGAGGAGATTGTGTGAAGAGGAAATTGAGGCTTGTGGGCAGTGGTGGAGAGAGGTTGAAAAGACTGTAGAGAAGAGGGTGAAATGGTGACGTGCATCTAAAGCCCTGTGTCCCACTAGGAACCTAAGGGACAAATAATAAGTAATAATGATAGACGCAATCCATTTCACTTATGAATCAGAAAGTGAAGAAGGAGAACTACCCCACTATTGGTTTACAGAATGAAGACGAGAGAAGATGGAATCGCATATACCAGTATTTCTAGGGAAGCAACACACATTCGAAGTTACTTGGATTTCACATCATCTCATCCAATCTCTGTCAAAGTAGGCTTGATAAAATATCTAAGTATTCGGGCTAAGAGTTTGACTGGCATGTCGAAAAACCTAAATACGGAAATGAAATGGGTCGCAGAGACACTAATTCTTGATAACTATCCTTTGGAATTTATTCAAAGGTTTATAAGGCTGACGAGGGAAAGAGTGGTGACTGTAAGTAACACGCATAAGAGGGAATTCAAATCCTCTGGAATGTTGCTTTATAAAGAAGGTACACCGAACATTTAAATGTAGAATTGCTAACAGTGGCATTTAGATTCGCAAACTCGTTGAGACAGAAACGTTGTAGGCTAAAACATTCAACAGAGCCAGTTAGGGAAAAATAACCGAAACTATCAGGTAACATATAATGATTATGACTTCAAGTAGATAGGTCAAAGCAGCCGATTGGCTGGTGACAATTCTAAAATCTTATATAGCTGCGAGAAGGGAGAGATTGATCACAGAATGCTACTTCATTCAATCAACCAGCACCTAACAGGAATGTCTCATCATATGTTACAGATACTCGGAATATTTTGCTACCATTAAACTAAAAGAATGAGGAATCCTTGGATTATATAGAGGAAGTCTGAAAGTTATGCAACTACTTTGGTATGAATATGAACAATAAAATTTGTTCGAAACGTCATCCAGTAAATCACACTATATCACTGTGTGCAATATAAAATAAACAATCAAATATGGTAGCGAATTAAATATGCAGAAGAAGGACAATTAGAGTGAAGAATTGCTTTCAATAACTTCAGATTATTCAGAATCTAATCAGTTATAAATCCACGACAATAAGTGAAATATAATAGTCAAAACAAGCCATGATATACAATTATTACCACACTGAAACAGTCAGTATTATGGAGGTTGGAAATGGAGGGAGATGAAATCGAATGGAATGGAATGGAATGGAATGGTGGAACTGTTATCAGTCTAGTGTATTAGTTATGCACTGAAATGACTATTTACAGAACAATTAAGAAATGAGGCGATAAAATCTACAGAAAATGATACAACCTCTTGATAGTGATTCACTTACACACATTTAATGGAACATAAATGTCATTAGAAGATGTAGATTATCTGAAAAATGTGTGGTGTATTTGCGCTATACATTTCGAACAATCTGATTACACCATTTACTTGTTAAGGCAATTTATATATGAAAACTGAAAGTGGAGGAAGGATAAATATGACTTAAAGGAATTCAATAATAAGAAAGACAAAATTTGAAGACATTCGTGGTAATATGATGAAATAAGCATTACCAAGGTAGGCTCGGTGTAAGGACAAACTGTTTTTGCACACATAATGAGGGGGTGAAATTTATTTATGCCTAGCGCCTCAACAAACTTAAGTATACGTCCCTAACAGTTTCTATGCAAAATTGTAAAGGCTGTTTTAATATCAATCCTGTGACTCTTATCAATGATATCTTTTGCAATGGATGCGGATGATGGTTGTCTACCATCTACCATTATCAATGTTTGTGAATCCAGCTGCTTTCGCAGCCACTTTGGAACATGTTCCCTTACCCTCAAGTTCATATCACGATTAGTCCTCCCTTTGTATGTTTGTCTACACATACATATAAATTTATAAACGCAGTGGAATGTGACACAATCGTTTATACAGCGTTGAGATCTATGTTGCACCAGGTGTTTGGTCTTCTCAATTATGAGAAGCTTAGCTGAATAGTACGTTTTGCTAACAACAGACCTTAACTTTCGTTTTAATTTTATGATGTTAGAGTCTCCTCTGTTTGATAACGCGATGTAAACGCATTTCTTCGAAACAGATTACAGATTAGGTTTGAATCCTTGCTGATTTTTGCAGCGGTTTATGAACTTCAATGGATATCCATTTTCCACTAATGTTTCCATAAGTACTTTGATATCATCATCCATTGAGTCTACCGTACAAATATGCTGGATTGAATTCCTTTATGTCGTAACTGTCCTTCATCCACTTTCAGTTTTCATACATAAATTGCCTTAAAAAGTAAGTGGTGTGATCAGATTGTTCGAAATGTACAGCGCAAATACATCATACATTTTTCAGACAATCTACGTCTTCTAATTACATTATCCAAATACAGTGATGAATTTTATTCAGGTGGGATGCAAACCATGTGAATACTATAACGAACTAGAGAATAACAAATGTGAAGTTTTACGCCACGATTGAAAATGACTACAGGTTGTGGTATGAAAAAAGAAGGGCGTAGAACTAATAACATAAGAAAATGTATATTCATCAAAGTAATGACAATATAGAAGAAATGGATGGGAGGTTAAAATGTCCAATTTGTGGTGGGGAGGTTATTGAAGAACGTGTCGACCCATTCCTTTCATAAATATCCTCCTCACCAGGAAAATGGATGGGTAGACTAAAAGGAATATTTTTCGAAAGAACACATGGACTGGTCATAGCTTCACACAGATTCAGTATAAAAGAAATCTGGTTACGGAATAACAAGCATTTGTTCTGATGACTATGTTGAAGACGAAATAAATAACCTAGAGATAACATTACAACAAAATGGTTATCCGCCAAGCTTCATACATAAACACATGTCGAAACCTAGAGAGAAGATAGAGAAAGACAATGCTGCTAAGAAGTCTAGATATATTGGACTAAGCTTCAAAAATGATAATGCCTCGGATATCTTGACACCTCAATTAAGTAGATCGGTCAAATGGATATTCAACGCAGCAAACCTTTCTGTCAGCTTTTCAACCAAACCATTACTGATACAGAGAATCAACGATAGATTACCAGTGATGACCACTTCACTGTTCAATAATGAGTTCAACTGCTCCTGTGAAGCTAATTGCATAGACCGAACTCAAAGTACTCTACTCTATCTATGTGCGTTCGTGAATAAGTGCCACCTTGGTTAGGGAAAGGAATGACAAAGACCATCAACAGTGTAATCCTCTCACATCTAGTAGATACTGAACATCAGACTAAGGTAGATCACGCCTGTCTCTTGCAATCTTCCTAAAGGTACACGATTTCTCATCTTATCCGTAGCCAAAGCCATAGAAATCAATGCAAGGAAATCGGATATGTATTCAAAAGAAATATGTACATCCACTTTGTCTATTTCGGCCCACAACAGTGTCGACACGTTGATCAACAACCTTCTTACTACAGATTGGACATTTTAACCTCCCATCCATTTCT